TGATGCAATTTGTAAGCGAAACCGGAACAAAGGTAAGGGTTAGTGTCTTGCGTCTGGTGCGTAACTTGAGAGACTTGCGTAAAAGGCGAAGTTTACTTTAATGCATATATGAAAGAGAATTCAATAATGTGAAACAATGTCTAAATTTAAATTCCTTACATTTTTTTCTGTGTAATGTAATTTGCAGTATATTTGTCGCTAAGAAATTAGATATAGTTCCTCAAATATTTTTAGTATTGATTGTGAACCATTAAAAAGAAGACATCGATTATATGAATTATTTCATCACAATTGAATAGTATATTTTTTTGATATTACAATATTCGTCATTCAACTAAAGTAAGAATGCAAGTCTAATTTTCACAAAAAACGTTAGTTTGAGCACCCCTAGGTTTTACGGGCGCAACTTTTGCGATTTGCGGATAATGCAAGTAATTCATTCATGCATCTTACATATTTATAATAATAATAATAATAATAATAATAATAATAATAATAATAATAATAATAATAATATCGGTGATATTGTCTCGTTATGGAAACTCTCTCATGTTTAACCTCCACAACGCTTGAAGCATTACACATATCGAAATACAAGACGTGCTGTTATGCCTGGTATTGCAACAGAAAATCAACCCGTTAAGATACAGTCCAGTTATTCCAATACCAGAATGTGGCAAATAGCAGACCATAAGAGTGAATTAAAGTAAAAACGATTAACTCCGATATGCAATATCCCCTGGCATCATTCTACAACAAGATGTGCTTTCGAAAAAGAGTAAAACAGCACATTGTTTGCCAAGCTATTGCACCGTATCTGGCAAATGAAGGGCGCTTTGTCGCCCAATGTCACGCCAACATGAGTGGCTCTGATTGAAGCAGATTCCGGACCGCGCTCGTGTCCAAATCGTTGGGTGATAGGCGTATCAGGAGGAGGTCATCGCCGGCAGCGGCCTCTTTATGAAATCGATAGCCGTTGACTCAGCGCACGCAACTGGTGTGAAGCGGACCGGCCGAGCCGCTACGCGACGCGGAGGTCCCAGGACCGCCCACGCGCTGCGTTGTAGTCCCCCCCCCCCGTTCCACGGAGACCACACCCGCGACGTCGCTGGCTTCGCAAACCACCGGAGCGCTAGTTGTTTTTCTCCCTCCCTAGAGTCGCTTATAGTTTTTACTGTTTTCCACATTAAATGTTTTTTTCACGGCGTCGTTAGCCGAATTGCTTAACTACACTCCGTGAAGTCGCGGAAGTGAAGCAACGCGATACGCCACGGATACCTGGCTGGGGAACCGTGAGAACTAACGAGCCTCTGGCAGACGGTTATAATAGGCAATGACTGACAACGACTTTAGGAGACAAAAGAACACATTTAACAGAAGATTACTCCAAATATATGCTCAATGCCCAAAAGATGGTTAAGACGCGTAGTTGCGAAAAAAGCACAATCTTCCTTTTTGTTTTTACATTTTTCTCTCACTAGAGTCGCATACATTTTATACAGTTTTTCTGATTAAATGCGTCATCGGAATTGCTTAACTGCATTCCGCTCATGTTACGGAAGTTGTCACTCGAGACACCACTGATTCCTGGATGGGTGACTGAATGAGGAACCCTGATTACTAACGAACCTCTAGCTGAAGGGATAAAGGCAATGACGGACTGCGACGGACAGGACAAAAGACGAATTTAACGCGGGATTACTCCATATGCCCAAAAGATGGTTAAGAAACGTACAAATAGTCGCGAAAAGGCACAAAATGTTTTCGAAATTATCATAACGACAAATAAAATGTAACGAAACTAGTCAGAAAATTCGTAGACAATATTCTTAAATTTGTTTGCTTTCTGGTTGAAGTGATTCCTCCAAACGCTTCCTTCTACACTATTACGATTCCCTAGCACCTTTTGCCTTTTTAAATAAATGAATATTATTCCTAATCTAGTTAAATTTTAATAACTTATGTTGTATTATATAATGTTGTTAAAATAGGACGATACCAAATAAACCTTCATCTACAATAGATATTTAAAAAATTCAGCAGTTTTTGTTTGCCATAATATATATATAAATTTAAATCAAGAAAAGTGAAATCAAAACAAAATTCCTTCTTTGGCCTTTAATTTTTTTGTTTCAGCGGAAGCGTTTTGGATTTCCGTATTCTTGTATTGTCTTGTACAATCTTGTATTTAATGTATATAGATGAAAATCAACAGGACGCAATCTAAATGCAAGAAGCAGAAGTTTTTAACACCCTATTATTAATTATTTTAAATTTGAATAATTAATAAGAAGAATTAAAATTCTATTTATTTTTTTTTCGACGAATTAATTTCCTTGGTTACTGAACTTGGAATCAATTTATGTTTAATGTAATTATGCAATTGTTTAAGACTGTAATGAAATATGTATACAATTCGGTAGTGTGATTCTAGTTTTCCTCGCAATATTCTATTTTCATTGCATACGCAACTGGTATCGAAGATCAAAATTGGTCATTGCGTGTTAGTCCTTGAACTTATCCAGAACCTTACAGAAATAGCACGATGTAAATCTCCGTAAATGAGATCATAAAGTAGCACATTTAGAGCTACCAAGATTATTAGTAGAATACAGTATTTAATTTTCTTTACTGAACACTTGTAGTAATAGTTTAATATAATTGAATGTATCATTAAACATAATCGTTTTAACTACGATTTTTTTTCTGCAACTCTTGAGAGTGGTTTGAAATAATTACGGTTGTCCATATATTTAACGCTCATGCTTTCTGCGTGATTATGAGAAATAATCAGAGATTTGCCGACGCTTCATGACCTTGTATTTTGTTCTCTGCATTGCCTTGCTCAATGCGTCGGCATGGCTACCCGCTTTACGTGGTCAGCGCTATGAACTACAACGTATATAATTGATTGCGTGACTCATTGTACTTGGTGAAGCTGATGAGATATTTCTTTAATGCTCTGGAAATATGGAGTATTTACCTTTAAAATGAAACAATAGGATTTTATGGCCTGAACACGGATCATACAAATGAATCTTAGAGGAACTACTTTACATTACTCTATGGGCTTGACGGTGAATTACCGACTTCAAACGCTCTTTTTACTTCAGTAAAATTTCGATAATTTGTGATTTTTCAATATTGCTAAAGAATCCTCGACAGATTACTCAATCGTGATTTTTCGTGTGCTTACGTAAGCGAAACGAGGGCTATCATTCTTATCTTCCACAGTAGGGTTCTTGCAGGGCGGTCTCGGCACAATCTGGCGCGATGGGAACTTACGGTGGGGGAGGGAGATGAGTCTTACACAACCTAATGAGCTTGAAAATGACAAAAAGAAAGTCTTAAGGGAGATAGGGGCTTCGTGAAAAGCACGTCCGCGGATCGGGTTGCGTGACGCTCGACAAGTGCCTGTAGGCAATGCGTTCCGCTAGGTGATGGATCTTTGATGGTAATGATAAGCGGCTGTCATTACGAAGAATAATTGTGTTCAATTTGGCACAAGTAAACAGAAAAAATGTGTATTTGGTTGGAGTCGTTTCTGGGGTAATTGTCGGCAATAAAATAATGTGTGCGAATTTGATGGAACACAATTGTTTAAAATGCTTGTTTTATTGCACTGAAATTTGTATTATTTCGTGAGATATTGCAAATACTAATTTAAGAAATTCCAGCAAGTACAGTGACATAAATTTGTTTTGGGATGTCATTTATAAATGTTTTAAGGCTGACAAAGTAAAGATTAAGTATATTTATTGAGTAGGAAGACTAAGAAGAAGCCGATAAATCCTGAAATGTAGTGGTGGAAGAATGACATTAATTGTAAAAAAATGAAGTAAGACACAACGTACACATTTTATACATCACGAATGTCTCAAATAAGTTTATAAGAGTCATATCGCTTCCTGGTAACTTAAGGATGGAGAGCTGTGATTTGAAGTGATAAAATGAAGTGCATACTTTTTCCGTCTTTACGCAACTTCATTCACTAAGCGACCATCAAATGTTTCTTTTCGAAACGCTTTCGTGAAATACTTCGTTTGACCGGATTCCCGAAAAGATGGCTTAACAACAAAGAAATAGTAATGGTAGTCATTATTCGTAAATATTCTTTGTGAGCTTAATTTAAGTTGACGTCACGAAACAGCCTAACCAGTACCAACCTTATGAAGAGAAAATTATCGATGAAGTTAGATTTCTCACCACTTCAATACCTCTTTGTTGTACTGTATTTTAAGACGCTCTAACTCGCCATGTGAATGAAAGTAAGGAAAAACATTTTGCATGCTACCAACGTATGATCCTCTTGAGTGCTCGTGCACCACCTCTTCATCGTCCTGCATATTAAATATTCTTCCGCAGCACTTGGTGCGCCTGTCGCGTAACAAATGGCACAAGAGTTGGGTACAAGGTTTCGAATATGTTAGGTACTTCGGGAACTGTTGGATGCAAGAAGGCTGCTTTTATCTCTTGAGTGTCCACGTGTCCCTTCTTCAGAAAGCTGTAATTATACTTGGGTCACTAATGATCTTGTGATAGTAAGTGAACTGCTTTTTAGTAGACTGAATATTTATCTAGTGATACTTTTTAGCTTCTATATTTTAAGTGTTCTCTCAATCGTTTTCTAAAGAACTTCATAGTTTTCTAGTTAAACTTTACCTACCACGTTTTTCTCAAGATAAGCAGTAGCTATAGAGCAGAAACAGCACAGATTTTTGTTTACTGTCAAAAGTTGTTTCCTCGTAAATACCGGATGTCCTAGTGGATTTGTTGAGAAATGTATTGTCCTTTTGGTGTAGTGATTTAGATTATCAGTGCTTGGGTATTCTCAGTTGAACGCAAATATTTAATGTAACTTTATCATCCCTAAGATGTGAAGAGAGATGGACGAAGAGAAGTCTGATAGCGCTTGGAGGTTGGAGTCGCTTATCTGGCAGTTGTCCGTGAATGTCTTTCAAACAGTGCGTCTAAACAGTGCGTCTCTCCCTTCCTTTCAGCTGCGCCCACTACGTAAACGGACATGAACCACCAGGGAGTGAACAGTGGCCCAGGGATTGCTCATTACAGGCCCGATGACGTCCAAAACGGGTATGACACCGAAGCGCCTAGAGGAGCGTAGCCTGTTCTGGCTTGTGTTTCCGCCAGTCGCCTACATTATTTGTTACCGCAGTCTGGAACGAATGGACGCTTCTGCATTTGTGTTTGCTTTTGTTAGGTGGCAATGCCAGGTGCAATTCTCTACAAATTCGAGCTAAAAACAATATATAGGAATATACAGAAGGTGTACCGATATTATATTTACATTAATGAACATTTTCAGCAGTGTTTTTTAATAGAAAGCAAGTAAACCGAAGAACGAACTATTTGTGTTTGATTTTCCGATCCCTGTAACCAATGCATTGCGTGTCATATCAATCGGCAGCTTAAGACTTTCTATCTACGTATTTTATTTATTTTTTTACTTGTTACTTGAGGTAATAGAAGTTACTGCCAAAACAATTTTCAGTTTTTGTCAATGAAATAGGTTAATGACATATTTATCATTTCAAATTTCCAAATGTTTTTTTACCAATCGAAGTGTGGTGTATTTCTAAATAATAAATTGTTGCAAGATTTGCCACCCTGGTAGAAAACTCTTTGCTTTCAAAGAAATAGTGAGTATACTAGCAAGCACACCAAATTTATTTACAAACAAATAGCTGTGGATTTTTACTGCCATATCGTGAGTACAGGACGTTAACGCGCCAACTTAACGTGACAGTATCTCTAGAAGAATAAAGTCATAAAACAGTGTCCCTGCCTGTTTCACACGCCGACATCGTGGAGAAGATCGGTATGAGAGATTTGCACCTGCAGTGGCTTCTTCCCAACAGATTTGTTTTGTGAGTCCAAAGCCATTCCGCGACATCTAAATGTTCTAACATTTCTCAAAACTCCACTTTACTAACAAGAGCCCTTACATCGTTCCCTCTAGCTTTCTAGCGTCCAATTCTTTGCTGAAGCTTCTACTGCGTCATCTCGTATAAATCCTACGATGCTTATTATGTGTTTTAAAAATGGAAATGATTATATTAAGTAGAGGTAGACGTATCTTCTTTCTCTGTCTCTTCATATTTGATGTTTTAGCCTATGGTTGTTAGAATAGAATGACATTCATCTTTCTTTCAGAGAATGAAGGTAATACATTTTATTTCCTTGAGATGTGTAAAAGTTGGAAAGCTACCTGACGAGCTTAGCATATTGCTCATGGCAACTGGGAAATTGCAAGATGAGAAACGAACTTCAATCATTGAACATTGTTATTGCAATTGTCGTATGAAGTGGAATAATTATTTATCTACTACACCTATATGCTTGGGAATAGAGGGAAGCTAGAAAAGTGTTGTCTTTTTACTCATAAATTATAATTTTTTAACTGTTTTGTTGTTTGCTGGAAGATGTTTTGTATTGATTGGAGCTGTTTATTTTCTGCCCACAGACAGCATTTCCTCTGTATAGCAGCTGTCTTATGAATGATCTTTAAAAATAAAAATAATTTTCTAATCTAATAAAAACATATTTTTATAAAATAAATTATAAATATATTAAAAATATTTGTTATTCGATTAGAAAATTATTTTTATTTTAAAAGATCATTCACTTGACTAAAAGCAATTTTGGAGAGGTTACTTTCTTCGTGTAGCTACAAAAGGGTAATAAACTTTAGAAGAAATTTAAACGCGGTCTACACCAATGTAATAATTTTGTACTACTTTCTTCTGTAATTTTTGCGTAATGTTATGTTTCATTAAAAATGAATGAATACTTGTTAGTTTTAAATTTTTAAAGACATATGTGATACGACAGTAAATAATAAAGTAATACAATTAATATAAATGTTCTACATTTTTTGTTTGCTTCATAAAGTTAAAATATGTCAAGAGAAATTTAAAATAACTAGTGATAGAAATGACTCCAGATTATAAATACATGGCGTAGTTTGATTAAATATAAATTATATATTTGGCTTACTGATAATGTATACTTTAACGCGTCCATAAAATTGCTTAATTATCTTTTTTAAATATAAAGTACAGACCTTTCACTATTTTCACCAACTGAAATCTGCATGTGGAATTAAACGGTCGAATTAGTGTTAAAGTCGAAAGCGACTCTCTTCACAAGTGGATGGTAAAACAGAAGTTAAATAACAATAATAATAAATTATTAATAATAGTAATAATCAAATTTGATACTCTTAATTGCGAAGAGGCACAGTCCTTGAAACGTACCCTTCCGTCAGACCACTTCTATACATTTACATTTTCATTATTACAATTACAATCCAGGTGTTCGGGCGCAAATAATAATTGGAATTTCGCGCTTCATAGATAAGTGCAATAAAGAATTCGCATGAAGTGAGCTGAACATAACCTACAAACGAATGTATATTGATATTTATTCTCTTCATTATAAACTAAGAACCTCAACTTACGTTCGTAAGAAAAATTAAAAAGTCAATAACATTAACTTCGCAAAAGTCCTAAGTCATTTCTTACACTTTCATTTCTCAATTCTGAACAATTTGTAAGATTGGGGAGAGAGCAGAGTTTACTTTTTTATCTGCTATCCTTACAGCAAAGGGGTCGTCCCTTCACTTTTTTCTGTTGCTTCTTTTCGCACTGCGCTCCGGCTCGAGCGCGCGTGACGTCACTCTGTGGGTTCGCAGGATGAGCACCGTGCTGGGGTATTCGCCCAACGCGCGCATCGACAAGACGCTGCTGGAGAAGTTCCTGCGGCTGCCGCTCCCTGAGGATCGCGTGCAGGCCACGTACATCTGGATCGACGGCACCGGCGAGAACGTGCGCGCCAAGGACCGCACCATCATCGGCGTTCCCACCAGCATCAAGGGTACGAAGCGTGCATGTGTAATTGATTCGTTTAGCTTCCTGCTCACCCTCGTTCGTTTAGCTTCCTGCTCACCCTCGTTCGTTTAGCTTCCTGCTCACCCTCGTTCGTTTTGCTTGCTCGTCGTCACTTCCTTCTCCACTCATTATTTCCTTCTCCTAAACAATAGCTGCCTTGATCTTTCTCTCTGAATCATCTTCGCCTTTCCTCGATTTCCTTCTTTGCGCATCTTTCTTCGATTTACTTTTCACGATTTTTCCCTGTTTTATTTTCTTTCTTTATTTCATAATTTTCCTGTTAATTTTTTCACTCTAGCTTGTTCTATTATTTGCTACTTTAATTTATTTTTTTCTACATTCTTTTTTCTTGAATTCTCTTCCCGTTCTTAATTAAATGTACGTATTTTTTTTAGAACTTCCCCTTTTAAACCAAAGACCTGAATAAAATGAGATGTTGACCGTGATTCTTTGCATTCTGCAAACTCGTATCTAACCGCATCAAGACACCGGAATCAGTGACCCTGAAAACACCGCAGAACAGTCTCAAGGTGTATTAATGTCGATACAAATGTCCATGACATACTGGCTCGTGTTAACCGCAAAGCATGTAGGTTGTTGCGATAAATATCAGAAATGCATTTCAGGGTTTTCAGAAAAAAAATTAAAAAATGCATTCTTTGGATGAGAAGACTGTTTGGTCGAATAATTAATTTAGGTAAAAACGAAAAATTACGTTTTGTATTTATCAGGAAACCGTAGTATCAAATTAGTGTAGCAATTCGAAGTAAAGTTCTTACAACTACTCGCGGACGCATCTTGTTGATTTAATAAGGCTTAAGGTCGCCCTGTAATAACGCAAATCAACATTACCTATTGAACTGAATGCAGGATGCGCACAAATTCCAAATGTATTTTTCAGCGACCGTACTAGGCAAAAGTTTTTATGTCGTGCAACCCGCTGAATGGAATCCATCTTTGCTTAGCATTGTGTTTGAATTAAATTTGTCAACAATTGTTGGCCGCAATATTATTGCAGCTGAGTTCGTTTCCATTATTAAGACAAGATGCACTATTAGCGATGGCAATATCTGTTTCTTGTAGAGTATTCGGATTGCATTTAACGTATTTTACCGGAAATGCAGTTACATAAATTAGAAATCAAAGGTGTTTCTTCGTGAGCTGTTTTTTATGCCTTTATAATGTTAATTTGATAGTGTTGGCAGATTGCTTTCGAAAAGTAAATTAACTTTTTGTATCTCATCTTTACATTACACGAAAAATGGCCAGAGGCCAATTGCTATGAAAATGTTGAGGTAAATTAAATCACTGCAAATAAAAAACGGGATTTAGGATCAAAGCCAAAAATTCTACTCGAACCAAATGTAAGGTGTTTCTGAGAGGCCGGGTTCCTTGCACATCTGATGTTACTATGCGTGTGCAGTTTGTGACCTCCTTACAAGTAAAAATTGGTATCCGTTACTACGGAATAAATAGCTCTTTCGTAACAGGTCATTTGAAATGGAGAACGTTCCAAATATTAGTTGTACATAAACCTCTCCAAAAATGTACGATCCTTTTGTGATCACCCTTTCGTGATATCAAACGGAAAGGCATGCTCCACCTAATGCAGTTTACGTAAGGAATTTGAATAAATGATCCGTTTCCTGTCATTCAATACAGTTTGAGCACGCCTAACTCTTTCTCGTCGATGAGCATCAAAGAAAATTCAAAAGACAGCGCTCTCCGCACGAATCAAACAGCAGTTCGTGTTGAATGCAAAAGCGGGTAAGCGCGTAATTGCACATGAATATGAGAGCTAAAAATTATGATCAAAGGCTGATGAATTTAAATAGGTAGTGTCCACCCTATGAGGATGTGAACCAAGGCATGAAACTTGCTAGGGAGTTCGCAGAGAATGTCCAGTTAGGGTTTCCCTTACGCCTGATAGTGAACGTCCGGACTTCCTTCGCAATATGTGTTGTATGCGCTGTATTCGTGAGTTCGTAAACGGCTGGCGCTCACGATGGCATAATTTTCAATTGGAGTTTCAATGCAATATCTTCTCCCAATAATATATTGCAATTAATACATTCATTAATATATTGCTGCCGCATTAAATAATGGTACATTCGCAGATTACAAAGTTGCAGTGACATTTAAGCTAAAAGTGGACGCCCAGTGGTCAAAATTCAATCGTAATTTTTAAAAAATCTTTGAATTTAGTCCATTACGTCATGCGAGAGTATGTAATAGTACTGCATTGTCTTGTTTGCGTTGATGCCTTGCAATACCTATGAAATTTGAAAACCCATAACAGGAGACGACAGGGCGCCTCGCCTTCTCCCACGTGACTGAGAAATACAATGAATACTTGCCTCGTGACCTCAACCATAGCCAGTATAGTATATTTGACTTCAAAAGGATTTTGCTATCTCCAGTACCCCTTACGTGTAATAAATGGAAAACCAGCTCTCTCACTTTTGTACGGAAGAAGGGTTCGCATTTTTTCTAGATCGACACTTTCTTAAATCATTTTCGGCGGAGATTCATTGCCCACACTAAGATATAACACTTAGTCATTATCTAGGCGTCATAGTTATATCATTTTTGAAACGGCAAACATTAACAACACAAAATATGAAATCAAATCTATATTAATACTGCCACCAGAAAACTGTTCTAATATCATTATTCTAGAAATTAAAGAGTTTTGAATTCTAAATTTAACATCAGACATCGTCACATTGTGCTTACATGTTCATTCTAATCGTTAATTCGATGAAAAATGATATTTCATTGGATAAAAATTTGATAAAATTGTGGCTGACTATATATCGCAATGCACTTTATGTAACACTATGAAACCATTCTCATTGTACATCGTCATTGAGCTAGTGCAAAAGCGAACTAAAATATACAAATTTTGTAGATTATTTATTCCAAGTCCTGAAAATTGATACACCCGCGAACAGTAAATATACTATTCTCAACATACAATACACATTTATCTTCCTACAATAGAATTTATATAAAGAGAGTGGTTTGTCAATTGCTCGTTCCACAACTTTGTCGACTTTTAATTTCAGTTCTGCTAGTGTTATAAAACAAATGTTATATCAATCCTTTGAGTACGAAATATTACCTTCTACTAATTTGCTTGGTCTCTTTCCCAGTACTTCTCACGGATAAAGCATTTCAGAAAATCGTCTCCTGGTAAAACTGCAAATGCTCTTCTGGGAAAGAGGAAAGATTGCGCAACGGGTCTTAATGTTCCTCTTCGCGTGAGGACGGTGTACGAGGCACGCAAGAGTCACGAGGCTCTTGAAGGACGTGTGGGCGACTGAATCAGGGGCCGGAAAGACGAGAAGCCGGCTGCAGTAATACCTCGCGACGTACGGTGCATTGGAGGCCTGCCAGTTGCATGCGCTGGAGAGCTTCGCAGCGATGGCCAAAATAAGCTCTCCGCGTGTCCCTTGCGAGCCCTTGCGAGCCCTTGCGTGTCACGGACTGCACGCAGCGCGCAGAATACTCCACAGGAACTATGTAGAGATGCGACATCGATGTGGGCCGTTTTCAAACCATCATCGACATTTGTAACGCAAATTTATTGAACAGTTTTTTATCATCGATGTTTTGTGCTGGATGGTTTTGTACGTTGTCGATGGCTTTTTAATTATAAAAATTAATAACAAAAAACTCCTGGTTTTCACTTCTCAGTAAATTGATTTTTCTTTGACACAATGTGAACACAAGAGAATAGAAAGATATTAGAGTTTGCGTTCACAAATGTAGTTTTATTTTTGTAAAATTTCATCTTAATCAGTTTTCTTAATTGTTTCAATTATTTTTTTCGTTCTTTTCGAAAATCTGAATTATAAATTAATAATAATGTTCTAATGTCCACTGTCATATTACATTATTCCTCGTACAAACGTTAAGCTATTAAACCAGTAATCAGAATATTGATTTTTTTTTAAACATAAAAAATGTTAGGGCGATGTATTATGGAATCGATTTAATTTTGAGCATCCATCACTTGAAACATCGATGTTTCGTAGGTGATATCGCATATCGACATCGCACAACGCTCTGCACGCTCAGGAAACGAAAACGGTAATTGTACACTCGTAAAATCAAGCCGGGCCCACGTTATGTGGTTAGTACATCGAAGCGCATCACTGTATCGCTTTACTAAATTATTATAATTTCTCACCACCAGTGAATTTTGATAGTACCTACTTAGTTGCTTCTACGAGTCATCACTAATCATAAAGGTGACTTCACACATTCGGTATTCAGAGCACCAAGCTACTGCTCGCCCAATCCCGAACAGCTGATGTGTTGGGCAAATGTTCGTTTCCTTTGATGTGTTCAAAAGGCCAATTCGCGGTGGGTACCACGAACACACTGTTCATCACCCACAATTAACGAGCAACTCATCCACACTATTCGGGATTCGGCGACCGGTTGCTCGCTACTAGTCGAATGACGAATATTTGGAGCTGCCTTAACACGAAAGGCAGAGATGACCTGTGTAGCCCGTAGCCGAGACTGACCATTTTAAAATACCGGTCGACAAAAACAAATTAGCATTACGTTTAAGAATGTTTTCATTTAATATGCTAAAGAAAAGCTATTTTGAACGGTCGACTGTCACAAAAGCTCGGAAGAGTGCTGAATATTTCTGAAAAGAGTATTACTCCACGGGGTGAGGGGGGGGGGGGCATCTAATCATTTTTAAGACTAAACAAGTAGTCGTTTCTAGATCATGATGTACGCAAAACAAGCAGGCGCTCATGCTTGCAGCATCACAGTTTACAATTGTGCACAACCCAAACTCGTGTAGTACTTGAAAGCAATCTTACTGACGTGTCTCAGTTGAAAATGGGAATGAGCAAGCTTTTCGCGAGACTCGGATCCGCAATCTCTTCACTGGTACTTTATCGTATAGGTGAAGAGGAAACAATGTAGTATCTCCATTTTTAGAACATTGTGCGTACAGAGTAGTAGGAGATTTCGCGAATTTAAAGTTTATAGAGTTCAGAAAGCTAAATTTATACAAAGTGTGTTAAATATATTAAATAATACGACGCGCAGATGCAACCCGCAACACTACTATGGTACATCAGTTAAAATATGCGTTTTAGAGTGTTAAAACTTAGCTTTTTGTTTTATATACTCTAAAACATTATAGCTTTTACAAAAAAATTGATTTTTTGATGGTTTGCAATGGTTTTCCACTTACGCGTAAAGGGGTACTGCAGATAGCAAAATCCTTTGAAGTCAAATATATTATGCGGGCGGTTGAGGTCACGAGGCAAGTATCCATTGTATTTCTCAGTCACGTGGGAAGAGGCAAGGAGCCCTGTCATCTCCTGTTTTTTTGAGTTTTCAAATTGCATAGGTATTGCAAGGCATCAACGCAAACACAAGACAATGCAGTAACTTAATCAGTTTCATTATAGCATAGCATTTGTTAGTCTTTGCGGATCACACAAAATCAAAAGTGAACATGAATTTGTGCATGTTTTCATAGTAGTTAATAATTTTGAATATTAAGTAAATAATGTGATAAGAGCGTATTTGATAAATGCCTTCGAGAAAATCAGATTCAATGATTTTGTATTGTACGTTAAAATTGGTTGAAAAGTAGACTTGCTCGTCCTTCTTTGTTGTTTTCTGAAAAAGTGTTCAATGTTTAGTACTGCATTTGAGCGTTGATATGGCTTCTTCACGAATTAAAGCCAAAAAATAACACAGAAAGTCGTAATTCGAAGAAATTGGTCGATTTTTCGAAAAGTTGTTGGTTAAAGAATTGATGGATTCATTAGTTTAAATTTAATGATTTGAAAGACCAGACAATCCATTCATAGATAATTATATCAAACTATCGTTCCTTAAATAATTCAGTTGCATATACCCTTATATCGGTAACACACGAGCGCTCTTGAAAGGGTTCTTCCATGTATTGAAACACTATTTGCGTTTCCAATTGGTCACATACTGCACCACGCCGTGCCCAGTGTGTTGCCAGTAACACCCGCCCAGATCTCTGCCGAGAGTGACCGGTGCGCGGGTCAGATTTTGGCCACTCTCATTCGGGGGCTTCGATTGGTAGGCGGAGCGTCGCCCTTCGCGGCGGGCAGCTCTTCCGCGACCGTGGTTTACAAACAGGCCGTTCGGGGGGCGGGCGCGCGGGCGGTGCGGCGGGGAGGACGAGGCCGCGATCAGCTGCTGGCGAGGAGGATATGTTTAGCTCGCGGTCGCGGCGGCCACGGGCGCTCCACCCGCCTCGTTCACACGGCCTCGCGCACCATGCGGCCACGCGCCCGGAGTAC